GGGGCTCCCCATGGTAGGGAGAGCATGAAGTGCCGTGCAGCTTGCTGGCCAGGCGGTGACCCACTGGCTCTGGAGTAAGCCAGTAGCCCTGCTGTCTGAAGCCATCACAGTAACCTGGTGCGTTGGTTACTTGTTTCTATGAGCGAATACCCGACAAGAAGTAACTTAAGAGGGGGAAGGTTGATTTTGGCTCACATTCGGGGGAGCAGTCCATCATGGCAGGAAGGCCTGGCTGCCAGACCAGCTCCCGTCTGCAGCTTGCTTACATCAGGAAACAGAGGAAGGGAACACCAGCACTCTGCTGGATTTGGCCATTTTCCCTCTATAATTCAGTATGGAACCTGGCACCCGCCTTCAGGCCGAGTCTTCTCTGGAAACACCTTTAGAGATGTATTAGTTACTTTTCTGTTGCTCTGATAAAATACTATGACCAAAAGCAACTTATGGAAGAACGAGATTTTTGGGTTCCTTCTAGGCGGATGAGAGTCCATCATGACAGGAGGCATCGCGGTCAAGCCAGAAGCTGAGAGAGCTCACCTTTGACCACAAACATGAGGCAGAGAGAGCCAACTGGAAGAGGGCGAAGACTATGAACTCACAAACCTGCACCCCACTCCCCCTTCCTCCAGCAGGGCTCCACCTCCTAAAGAGTCCACGACCTCCCCAAACAGCGCCACCAACTGGTGACTGAGTGTCCAAATATGTGAGGCTGTGGGGGACATTTCTCATTCAAACCACTATCACAGATAAACCAGTGGTATGCCTTAATAACGCCCTAAGTGTTTCCTAACGCAATCAGGTTGACCATCAAAATTAACCACCAGGCAGGGCTTGCTGGAGCCAGGAAGTGGTTGTCTGCCTGTATCTTAAGGCCCTGGGGAGTGAGAGACTAGGCAGCAAATGAAATGGCAGCTGGGAATAGAACCAGTGAGCAAGGACGCTGTGGATTCCAGACTTGGCTTCTGCTTTCTGAACAAGGGTCCCCACCTTTACACCTGACGGGGGGCACAGAAGTGTGCCAGCTTGAGGCACCGCACTGTCAGGGCGTCCAGAGTCAGGTCGCTCAGGGGACAGAGTGCAAGCAGTGATGTGAATAATTCATAGCTGCCCCCTAACCTGTCAGCCAGCACAGACAGGTGTCCCCTGCCCCCGGGTCAGAGAGTGCCAGGGCCACGGGACCACGGGGCTGTGCAGTGCCTTCCTCCTCCGGCTGTACTCCAGCTGGGCTGTGGTGTGGGGACTCACAGTGGCCGATGCGCCTACCCTGTGGCAGCCCACTATATAAGGAGCAACAATGGAGGAAGGGAGCATCCACAGCCCCGAGCAATCTGGCACACTGTCTTTATGTCTGTCCCTAACATTGAAAATCAGGACTCAGGAATGAATGAGGTGGCTCAGCTGGTAAAGCACTCGCCTCAGTGGGTGAATCCACACACTTGTAATTCCAGTGACAGAGAGATGGGAGGTGGAGGCAGGCAGATTCCTGGACATTCGTGGGCCAACTAGCTTAGCCTACTTGGTGCGGTTCAAGGCCAGTGAGAGACCCTGACACAAACAAGGAGTAGATGGCAGGGCTGAGGAGATGGCTTGCTGGGCAAAGCACTTGTCATGGTGCTGATGACTTGAGTTTGGATCCCCAGATTGCACATAGAAGCCCAACACTGTAGCGCAGGCATCAGTGATATCAATAATCCCAGTGTTCCCCTAACTGGGAGACAGGAGGCCACCGAGGCAGGAGAATTACAGAAGCTCAAGGGCCAGCCAACCTGGCACATGCCACAGTGAACAAGAGACACTGTCTCACACAGATTGGAAGGTGAGGCCCAGCATCCTAGACTGTCCTCTGACCTCCACATGCGTCTGTGGCACGTGCACACTGGTGTCCCCCGCCCCCACGGAGGCCTGTATTTTTTTGGTTTATTTTTATCTTTTATGCGTATGAATGCTTTGCCTGCATGTATGTAAGTGCACCCATGTCGTGCATAACCCGCAGAGACCAGAAGAGGCTGTCGGATCCCCTGGAACTGGAGTTACAGACAGTTGTTAGCTGCCACATGGGTGCTGGGAATTGAACCCTGGTCCTCTGGAAGAGTAGCCAGTGTTCTTAACCTCTGAGCCATCTGGAGATACCCCTAGGCTTGTATTTTTTTTTTTTTTTTTTTTAGAAAGGGGTCTATTGACTCTAGGGTGGCCTTTAATATGTTTTTTTTTTTTTTTTTTTTTGAGACAGAGTCTCATGTAGCTCAGGATGGCCTTTAACTAACTCATTTTGTAGCCCAGAATGGCTTTGAATTGCTGATCCTCCTGCCTCTACCTCCTGAGTGCTAAGATCATAGGCATGTGCCATCACACCTGAACCCAGGGCCTCATGCATGCGGGGCAAGTACTCTATCAACTGAGCTACAACGCCAGCCCTGTTTTCACTAGAGTGCATAGGCAGGTGTCTGGAAGGCTGGCTCTCACACTTGTGGTAGACAATCAAACATTCATAATGTAAACCCACCAGGCACTTTTGCTTCTTGACGAGCCAGGGGTCGGGGAGGGGACAGAACACTATCAGTGACCCTTCCTTCCTGGCCTGGGCTCTCTGGCTGGCCCTGTCGCTGCCAGCATCTCTGTCGTACTGAGCTTGTTTGCAGACGTGAGTGGAATTGTTTTGGAACCCACAGGCTCCCCAGGCCTGCACTTCTCCATGTCAATACAGTGTAGGCTTCAGATACAAGTGATCTCTGCTGCTGGATGAAAAGACAATGGTTTTTATATTGATATCACTTTTTGTTTTTATTTATTTATTTTTTTGGTCTTTTTGAGACAGGGTCTCCCTGTAGCCCCAGCTGTCCTGGAACACACTATGTAGACCAGGCTGGCCTTGAACTCACAGAGATCCGCCTGCCTCTGCCTCCCGAGTGCTGGGATTAAAGGTGTGCGTCACCATGCCCGGCTGATATCATACACTTTTAAGTCATGGTAGAGTCTTCATGAATTGAATTTCTGCTAAATTACTTTTAAAAATAGCTGTGTGTATTCATTTTCAGACAACGCTGACTACCCCTCTCTAAAGGGCTCAGCCTGGAAGGTTCAGGAATGCAAAACTGCTTTCCCTTATGTGTTCTATGAGATTTCCTTTCAATGCTGTGTACACTGAGCCAGGAGCCAGGACAGTCACCTTCCCACAGGTTTCTACTACCGAGCACCAAGTATCCACAGGCTGGGAATTCTGCTGGAAACAACACACTACGGGACCTGATGGGTGAGGCCTCAGAGGGGACCCTTTTGTAGAGGGAACAGTGGGTTCAAAGTATTTAATTTATAAAAAAAAAATTCTCTGTGTATTACTGAATGGCATGTTTCTATGTCCCTGGATCCCTTTATTCATTTGGACTAATATTAAAACCAAATGTTTGGAAGGACAGGGGTGAGGAGGGCATGGTGTGTCTCCGGGGAGGGTGGGGGGGTATAGGCAACTGTGATGGTAATGTGGAGAACAGGTACCTTTAGTACAAGGGCAGAGGCCAGGAGGGTATTGAAACCAGTGACCTGGGTAGAGAATATGGAGGGTTGATTTGTAAAAGAAAAATTTAAATGTGGAAATCACTTATTAAAAACAAAACAACAAAACCCCAAACAGCAGCAAGAGAAACAAAAGGCAGCCAGCCCAGGGACGGCAGTGGGCCGACTGAGGAAGGGCTCATGGACAAGCCTGTCACCACTGATGACCAGAACTTAGGGTGTTCCACCCGCACCGAGTACATCACCTGCTGCTTAGAGGATTCCCCAGCAGAACCACCACCGCACTCCATCTCTGAGAACCAGGGCTGTAACAGGCCCTGAGGCCTGAAAGCTGGAGCCCTCTTCCCAATTCCCAGATGCACACTCCTACACCCCCATGATGCACCATTTCACTGTCAAAGATGAACATTAAGATGGTCTTTAAATTGCTTGTCTTATAAAACATCCAGAGCTGGTGTTTGCCGGGGTCCTGGCTCAGGCCTCTGTGAGAATCTGGGTATACTTTGGCAGGGAGATCCTTTTCTTTCCTTTAAAAAATATGTATTTTAATTATGTGTGTGTGCACCTGTGAGGAGGTATGCGTATGTGTGAGTGCAGGTGTCTGTGGAAGATGGAGGAGGGTGTCAGAGCCACTGGAGCTGGAGTTACAGGCAGGTGTAAGTCACCCCTGATGTGGGTGCTGGGAACTGACCTTGGGGCCTCTGCCAGAGCAGTACGAACTCAACCACTGAGCCATCTCTCTGCACTGGGAGCCTTCTGTTGCAAAAGCCAGCAAAAATGTCTTCGTGGTGGTTCATATTGTCAACTTGACAGGATCTGGAATCACCTAGGAGACAAACTCTGGGCATGTCTGTGAGGGATTATTTAGACTGGGTTAATTGAGGTGGGAAAACCCATCCTGAATACGGGCAGTGCTAGTCCATGGTCTGGGGCCCCAGACTACACATAAGGGAGAAAGCGAACTGAGTACCAGCAGGCTTTTTACTGCAGATATCATGTGACCAGCTGCCTCACACGCCTGCCACCAAGACTTTCCCTCATG